AAGCGCACGCGCCTCCTGGACTCAGGCGCCGTTTGTGGGCGGCGGTCGAAAGAGAATATGCGTGGCCTGGCCGTTTTACGAGGAGAACACACTGTTTGATGCATGTTTAGGTGCAAATGTCTAAACGTTCGGGATCCTTCAGACAAATTTGAGACAGGTGGTTGGCCCAACCAGTTTGGTTCGAGCCCTTCTGGCCTCTTGGGGCTTACCCCTCCACCAGGTAGTGTCGAGGATCCCCTCTCGGATCCGTCTCCGGAGAGACCTCGACCTCGCTCTCCAGATCTCGAGGCTGGGGAGGGCAATGGGGCGAAGGTGCCGGTGGCAAAGCATACTGCGTAAGGCCAATCTTGATTGGTTTCTCATTAGCAGCTCTTCTTGAGGCTTACATCATGAATTGAGCAGAGATGTCAGTGTGCGTTGCAACCATGCAGCATTCGATGTATCTTCCTCTGCCCCATGAGGCCTAATGATACCCCAAGTGTTCACAATTTCGGGATTTGAGAACAACACGCACTAGCACATTTTGAACGAAGCAAGCTTGGAAACAGTTCCGCAAAAAGCTTAGGACAGCCACCGTGAGTCGTGTTTCTTTGCCACAAAGGTTGGCTGTTTTTGGGCATAGGCAGGCATCCCTGGAATGGCCATTTAAGCAAGCATCTCCAGCGCGGCAAACCTGCGATCCGTGTTTCTCCTGACAACCACTCAACTTCCCGGCAACAGCAATGGTTTTGAAAAGAAGGATTGGACATAACGGGGAAGCACCCCGAAAGGTTCCGATCAAAGCGCCTGGGATTCTCTCCGAGGATTTGAAAATAATTGAGCCCAGGCAGCCATCGCGGAGCTGATGGCACAGATGGTGATGCAGCAGGAGCGATGGTTGCAAGATATGTCAGCCAGATAGTCTTAAAAGGAAATGCCGTTTAAAAGACAACGGAGTCAACAACATGTTTAAACACGGGTTTGACCTAGCCAAACTTAGACGTATTGAAATTCGAAGTTGACATTGCCTTGGCACATGTGAGTTTGTTTAAATTTGTGGACCCCTTTTGGTTGCTTTTTCAAGGGAAACCAACAGGAAACCAACAGGAAACCAACCATTGTAGGGAGACCCCTATTTGAGAAATACCCACATGGTTATGTACGCTTGGCTTTTTGCAAGCTGGCTAGGAATTGATAGAGCAGCTTTGCTCTAATGATGCTTCCTCCCCAACTAGCGGCTTGTGTGTTGATTGTTGCAACTACCTCCTCTGCAGGTGACCAAAGAACGCATTCTCCTTCTAGCAGCACTAATCGATTGCTATCCGAGTGGCCGCAATTTCGTGCACTTCCATACATTTTTACAGCAACTGTTTTGGTAGGGATGCTCACGAATGCCCAGCCTACTTGTTGATGCCAATATTTCATGGGTCATTCCAAAAAAATAGCTCCAGCTTGCACCAACGGACAACTATGTGTGTGTGTGTATCCGAACGGAGCCGTTTGACAGACCCCATTCGACGGGTCACCCCAGAAATCCTGCAGGAGCTGGTGACGGGCGCGCCAACCCTCCGAAGTGGGAGCAGAGAGGAGAGCCTGTCACGCTCCGAGAGCCCCGCGAGCCTCGTGCGGGGGAGCCCCTCGTTGAGCTGCAGCCCCGTGCTCGACGCCGAGCGCGGAGATCCCAGCGTGCGCAGTGCGCGGGGAGGCGCGCCAGGGGTTTCTTCACTCACTACTCACTCTCACTTGCTCACTTCTTCCTTTTTGCGGGTTAGGTGCATGGGTGATGCGTTTGCTGTTTGGCCAGGCGGCCGTGTCCCGCAGTTCCTACTGGACGGCGACATCGAGGCGATCGGGCCGGTAGAGTCGCGCGAGGGCGACAGCGAGTGGAGTCCCCGAAAGTCGCAGAGCAGCAGAGGAGCGGATGTGTGGGGGTGCGTCTGGGAGTTAAGTCTGCCTACATGCCGCCGACCCAGGGCTGTGCCCGACATCTTCGTGTAGTCAACGGAAACATGTTGCTAGACCTAGCCACTGGTGATGCTAGGGGTGTCGACCACTTTAGTTTACGCGGTAGTGAAGTTAGAGGTGAGAGCTAGAGGCTAGAGAAGTGAGAGGTTTGAGAACTTAGAGGTTCAGGAAGTTTGAGGTTAGAGAAGTTAGAGGTCATGCCGACCAACGTAGTCTAGAGACGTGCCCGAGATCTGTAGACGACATATTATACGGTAGAAAAGCTGTCTGGTTGGAATGGTCGAAGAAGGGTACCATTTGGCTTGCCTGTTGCAATTGGAATGGCCACGTTGCAGGCAGCATGACAAACACATTCGGCGCATCTTATGTCCTTCGCTGTATGGCAGCCCACCACTTGCCAGCCCAATGTGTAGACATGCCCTGCTATACACCGGCGCCCAAGCTTTGAGCCGGCTTCCTTGCTTTTCATGATCCCTGCTGTGCCACAACCCGCAGAGTCTGTGGAACGCCGTGGAGAATTATGGATTCCAAGGAGTTGGCAAAGAGCCTCTCTGTAGCCCTAGTTGTTTGTTGTACCTCCTTTTGATCTCAACATGGCGCCAGCTTGTTGCTTCGAAACAAAAGCCGTGTCTTCGCATGAGTGGTAGCTGGCAGGTGCGAGGCTTCCAGGCTCCATCCGTGCGTAAACGAGGCATGTCACTTCGGCGCGAGCCGAAGGACGAGAGTCTGTGCGGGGAGAGGCCAGCCCTGAAGGCGCACCAGGGAGAGAAGCCATGCGGGCCCCTATGGCATGGATTTGGCCAGCCAGTTGCGGGTCAAGACCGGAGTCAAACGGGAACACAAAGGCTAAGATCTGGATTCGTTGGTAAGTTCGAAGGTGCGAAGCTTCAGAGCTTCAGGTTTTCCCTTAGTTCCGCTTGCTTGTTTGCCTGCCTGTTTGCCTGCTTGTTTCCTTGCTTGTGGTTGCTTGCTTGCTTCGAAGCACAACCAACGTACTCGACTCGTGAAGCGCATGTGGGAGGCTGGGACACAGGATGGTTGGTCGGATTCTAGGCCAAGCATGGAGCTACAAGCAAATGGCGACCTCACGGAGGGATTTGTTTGACCTCATCCGACGATAAAGACTCCTTTATTAGGACACTCTAAGGCAGGTTGGCGAATTGTTTGTTGTGCGATCGGGACACACCTGTTGCCTGGTGGACACCACGTGAGTGCGGTTGGTGACGTATTGTAATCCAACAAAACAACACATAGCTCCGCACATGCTCAGGCCGCTCCCAGCCGCGTTCGTCGGGCGGCTCCCGCTCCCGCTCCCGAGCATCGCGAGGCGCAGATACAATGCTTGGTTGCTTTCAGAAGAGTATGGCCTATATGTCAGATGTTTCCACTCTTCTGCGACTGTTTGATGCGTGGATATTATCCATCCATCTATCCACCAGTCTATCGAACTTAACTATTTCATCAATATTGTCTATCTATCTTATCTTGTTTGTCTTATCAGTCTTATCTATCTTATCTGTCTTACTTGTCTTATCTATCCTATATATATATATATTCTTGTCTATCTTGTCCATCTTATCTTATCTTATATTATCTGTCCCAGCTATCTCATCTTATCTTATATATCTTACCGCTCTTGTCTATCTTGTGTATGGTATCTCATCTATCTTGTCTCATCTATCTATCCATCCTACCTACCTGCCTGCCTGCCTACCTACCTACCTACCTACCTAATCTATCTATCCATCCATCCATCCATCCATCCATCCATCCAGCCAGCCAGCCAGCCAGCCAGCCAGCCAGCCAGCCAGCCAGCCAGCCAGCCATCCATCCATCCATCCATCCATCCATCCATCCATCCATCCATCCATCCATCCATCCATCCATCCATCCATCCATCCATCCATCCATCCATCCATCCATCCATCCATCCATCCATCCATGTGTCTGTCTGTCTATGTATCTATCCAAATCTCGTCAAATCTAGTCTAATCTATCAATCTATCTATCTGACAGATCTATCTTCCGACTTATCTATCTCTATCAATCATCTATCTATCGACCTTGCGAAGGTGCTGCGCCTGCCACGAAGCTGCGATTTTCGAGCTGAAGCGCGGAAGAGCACTTCGTGTGCTGCTCTTGTAGTAGAAAGTGGCGATTTTCGAGGCGGAGCTGCGGATGTGTATTTCGCGTACTACACTTGCGCTACAAAGTGGCGATTTTCGTGCTGAAGTTGCAGAAGTGTACTTCGCGTGCTCTTGTACTACAAAGTTGCGATTTTCGAGCTGGAGCCGAGGCAGTGTATTTCGTGCGCTACACTTGTACTACAAAGTTGTGGCTTTTCGAGCTGGAGCTGCCGAAGTGTACATGCTGTAGAAGTGTACTTCGCGCGCTGCACTTGCACTACACTTTCTTTTTGAGCTGGAGCTGCGGAAGCGCAGTTCGCATACCACACACGCTGTTACAACCAAATTGTGATGCTCGACGTGCGCTACACTTGCTCTACAAAGCTGCGGTTTTCGAGCTGAGGCTGCAGGAGTTTTCTTCTCGTACTAGACTTGTACTACAACGTTGCGATTTTCGAGCTGGAGCTGCAGCAGCGTGCTTCGCGTGCCAGACTTGCACTACGCAACTGTCTAAGCTGGAAACGCGGTTCGCGTGCCGCACTTGTGCTACGGAGTTGGGATACTCGAGCTGGCGCTGCGGATGTGTACTTGGCGTACTCCCCCTGTCTACAAGGTTGCGATTTTCGAGCTGGAGCTGCGGAAGTGCTGGAGCTGCGGAACTTTTGAGCTGGAGCTTGTGATGTTTGAGCTGGAGCGGAAGTGTACTTCGTGTACTACACTTGTTCTACGCGGTGGAGTGTGTGCTTCGTGCATACTACACGTGTGCTACAAATTTGACTTGCGAGCCGGAGCTGCCAGAGCGCACGAAACATTGAAAAACGAATGGTCGACAATAACAAGCCAGCCCTAAACCCCTAAAAACCCTAAAGTTGGATGGGTCTGGAGAATGGGCAAAGTCCCTCCCACGTAAAAATGTTCATTTGGGGGACTTTTTTGGAGCTGGCTAAATACGGACCATCTGCTCTATAACCCGCAGCCACAGGCGTTGATTGTCAAAGTGTGACTTTCTGAGGCTCCAAGTGGTCTCTTGGGGACTGTGTCAGGGGGGGCCAAAATGGAGCTCTTTTTTGCAGACTTCCGTTTCATCCAAACCTTTGAACAGGTACCCATATACCGGGGAAATAGCTTGTCGTGATTGTTGCGGGTCCTTCCGTTAATCTGCAGCAGGGTTGTGGGAATTGCCTTCCACCTCTACCAATGGAATGCCTTCCAAACCGAGGAGGTTTCCTGGCACAGTGCGAACCACTCCCTCATTCGCACATCCCTGACCTGAGTCTTCCAACCCGACACTCGCTCCCTGAGTCCTTTTTCGGGCCTTTGTGAACAAACAAAAATCAGACTGCCACTCAGAAAGCGATGCTCACTTCGACTCCCGACCTCCAAACCCCGCCATTCGCGAGTCGCGAGGAGACTCCATGGCCTCGGGCCCCGATTCGCTGTCGCCCCACAAAAGCCGGGAGTCGCAGGCCGGTCCATGTGGCATGGTGGAAATCCTCCAGAACGGACATGGCTTTGGGCACGCTTTAGTCTAAAGCACACCCGGGACACACGCAAACATGGTTGGTGGACATCCTAGTGGAAATGATGTCCGTTTCAAGGGAATTCCGACCCGTGTTCCGACATTCCACGCGTGACAACGGCCGCCGTTTCGTTTCCAGCATCCTGTGAGGCGCTGCTCCAGCAATCTTACCAGGCGGGTTCCTCGTTCTGGCTTTTCAAGAGGCGAACACTTGCAGCGCAGATGTGCCATGATGAAGACATCTTTTGCTTAGGGTCGCTTGGGATGGTCATCAACCCCTTAGTGGGGATTGCAGACAACAAAGGGCCCTGAAGGAGGAAACCGGCACAAACCAGGAGCCACAAGAGACGCTTTCGCGCCCAGAGATGCTTTTTCAAGCCGTGACCCTTGTCGGAGCTCTTTTTGTGGACCGCTAGGGTGTGGCACTGTGGCAAGCAAATGGATTTGATACGACACCCGCACGCAGGATTTGCACTGGGGCGTTGTTTCAGAAGTTTTGAGGATGTATTTAGGGAACCCCCCGCAAATGAGTTTGTTGCACATTCCACCTGGCAACACGGCCCTTGGAAGATTTTAAACGTCTGGCCGAACCAGGGTTGTGGGCCTGGACAGCACATTCTTTGTAGAGCGACATCCATAATTTCATTTGGAAGCAGCTAGGCAGGAATTGAGTTTCGCATCTTCCAGGGTGACAAGGCTCGACACATTCACAACTTAGCCCTGGTTCACACTTGGTTCCCTTTCCCATGTTGAGGCCTGCGAAACAGGTTGGGACCCGCTCGGGTTTTGGGCGCTCAATGTCCATTCCCCGCTGGCGTGAGGAGTTGCTACAGAAGCGCCTGGATAGCGTCAGCCCCGAGGATCGCGAGTACCAGGCTCGCCGATTCACGTTTCGTGGGCAGCAAGTGGTTCGGAAATCCATGTTTAGCGAAGCCGGTCCACCCCCGACAACGAAATGGTTTGTTGAGTGGCCTCTCAGCTATGGTTGCCGTTTGACAGCTCTTGGCGGCCTCTTGGGGACCCGTGATTTTGCGCTGTGTTGCTTCCGGAGTTTGGGATGGGGCGTGTACCAGATGGAGCAAATGGAGAAAAGGGAAAGCCACAATATGAGAAAACAAACACATATAATTCAAATGCACAATGGGAGCCTGATTTACATCTCGCGCAGTCCCATAGGGATTGCAAATGTCTCGCGAACCTGTTTGCAATCTCATTGGTGCTGCAGCAGAACTATGGCCATGCATGTACAACGTGAATAATTCAGAATGTTCAGCACCATGCCGCAGGACAGCCTGCGATCACGTTTTTTGCTGTGATGGAGGGGCAGAGGCTTGACTTGGCACCTAATTATCTCGACACCGTGCGCAGGCTAGGTGGAGTAGGTTTCAATCTTCATCCCTGGCACCTCCAAGCAATGACTAGTGATTGTCCTGCATGTAGACGGCTCAGCGATGATCCCGGCAAAGGGATCACCTGGATGTCGTGCTTTCTATGCCGAGCGATGATTTGGCTCCACTTAGGCCTAACAAACTGGCGTTCTGAGCTGCCTCCAGAGGAAGCACCGGGATTCCCACTACTCCCTCCGCGTGGTTGGGAACATCACCTGAAGGTGAGTTGCCACCTGTTTGGCCCAAAGGTGAGTTGCCCTTGCTGCTTTGGACTGAAATAGGAGCGGTCTGAAGTCTGAACTCAGCTCTGCCAGGCCAAGTTGCTGGAGAAGGCCTACAAGGCCCCGGCTTTTGTCAGTAAAGTCCCAGTGCATCCCAGGCACCCCAAAGTCCCTCTTGGTTTGCCCAAGCCCCAAAAAGGGCCAATCCTTTTTGTGCCAGGGACACGGACAACTGCTTACTCTGATACGTCGAAGGGATTGTGGGTACTTGAATTCACAGAGAAAAGCGTGCCCATTGATGATGATCCCCGGTTTTTGTTGTTTTTCCCGAGACAGCAACAAGTGAATCTTGTTCAACCTCGCCAGCAAAGCGGTTGGTCACCTGTACACTTGCAGTGGCCAAGCACCTTTGCCACTCATGCAGCGCCGCGAAGTGCTGCAGCGACCTTCTTCAGGGCTGTGCAAAGGTCACAAGATGGGAATGTGTGTGTGAGAATCAGAGCCCCCTCAAACCGGCTACTGGCTTTCTCTTAAAGTGAAGGGTCTTTCTTATCCGCCTATGGCAGACCCAAAAGCAATGCCAGGAGATGCGGAAGAGCCTCAGCGAGTCTGCGGAGCGCCGGGGAAGTGGGGTGGGTTTCGGGCTCGGCCTGCCCTCTCAAGCGACAGCCATGACTTCTAAGGGTGCTTCCCCCCCAAAAAAACGGGCACACGTGGTAAGGTTGTTTGCCATATGACATCGGTAATGCTCATCTCCAGCGGTAGAATGTTGAGTGCAGCGAGGGGTGCAACACATTTCCTCTTGCGCATTTCTCATTTCAGACACGAGAACAGAATTGTTGCTCCACATATTCAGAGAACGCTCGACATGGAAGCTGAAGCTGATAGAGCCCTCTGTGAGGACCCTTACTTCTTGAACGAGGATGAGGACGAGAGCCACAGCTGCAGTTGGTCTCAGCCAAGGCTTTCTGGCGGCCCCTGAGTCGCAAATCAAGCCCCTTTTCGGTTTGTTCCGACTGGAGCTGTGCACAGAAGCCCAGGTTTCCGACTTCACCCATTTGATTCTGGAGTGCTGACCCATCCCAGGGATCTTGACCTCATTGACGTGGTGGCACGCACGCCCAGCGCCAGGCCTGGTTAGGGCAGCCGGGCTTTGAGTTTGAGGCTTTGAGTTTGAAGGCTGAGTCCGATAGCGCCACAGCAGAAATATTGATATGTGCCTCAAAAGTAATATTGATATGCCCCACGAGCAGCTCGTGTGCTCATGTCTGGCAAGCAATAGGGCGGCGTGCCACCCTCAAGCCGCAAAGCAATTGACACGTGCGCGCTTTCTGCAACTTTGGATCGGTGATTGGCTGGGACCTCACCTTTGCATGAGAAGAGCAACTCTCGTTCGCTGTAACCTGCATAAAATAAGTGAATCCAACCCTCAAACTCCTGCAGCACACTGAGTAAGCAGAAGGGCTCCTCAAACCATGGATGGCTTCAGAGCTGAAGGTCTGAGACTTTGGCATAGTGCTGTACATGAAGCAGCCTCAGAAGTGTCATAGACCACTAGTTTTGTTTGAATTGTCCGGACGCAAGGTGGAGCGTTGAGCAGCGTGATCCACACATACATAAAGTGTTTTTTGTTGCTTGCTGGTGGCTTTGGCAAGCTTGCCCTCTGAAGTCAACCTCAGCCTTGATGAAGACTGGAAATCCCCATCCCGGATTAATCAACCTGGTTTCGGGGGGGTTCTGTCCCCTAAAAATAAAGGAGGCTACTTAATATTGGGGCACCCGCGATTAATTGAGGCACCGCGATTCATCGATGAATCAGTACCCATTAAGTATTGCCGCAGTGCTTGAGTCTTAGGTGAGCTATGGTTGGTGAGAACATTGGCAACCTGGGACTACATGTAAAGCATGTATTTATTCTGGGACAGCATGTATTATACCATGCTTGGGGAGCATTGACCACAGCACATGTGGACATGAATTGAAGGTTTCTAAACTGGACTTGGAGTACGCCGGGTTTGCTGAGAAGGCGTCGGCAACCAAAAGTGATTTACGTTTTCGCTGGCCCCCGGAGTAGAGCTACGGAATTGTGAGTCGATGGCTGGTTTAGCTTTTGGAACACAGTCCAGGCTGGCAGAATAGAATCGACCGCTCGCCAAGCGGTGCTGAATTACAGCAACCTGGGGGGGGGAACGGGTGCGGGGGGCACTTAGTTCAGGCCGCTTTACCATCCGTGGCGGGGAGCTTTGTGCATCCGGTGTCGTTTTGGGCCGCTTCCCAAAAAAGACAATCATGTTGTCGACCCTCCCGTATTCCCACCAACTAAGATGCAACCCCCCCCCCCACCAGAAGGTCCCTTCGAGAGGAAGAGTATGCTGCAGGGACCTCAGGTTCTATGGCAACCTGGGTGCCGTTTTTCAAATCCAGCAGCGGCGAGGCTTGGAAAGCTCATGAAGGTCCTGAGGGTTTCCTCGTTTCCAGTTTCCAAGCTTCCAGCTTCGCTGCTTCCAGCTTCCCGTCTCGGTGGGTCGGTACGCCAGGCGCCTCGGGGGCTCCCGGTCCATCAGCTCCGGGGAGGGCAGTGCCTCGGATGGGAAGAGGTGAAAGGTGAGGCATTTTTTTTTGGCCGCAGCTTTGAGGGAAGGTGTGTGACATATCTATCCACCAGATTCCATGGCCGCAGGCGTGCCTCCTTTGTGCTGGCTGCAATGAGTTTCGCTCTTGCCCTTGATTCTCTTAGTTTTTGCAATTTTGAAGGAGAGTCCGGACATGGAAGGAACTTACAGTGTTGCAAGCAAGTGGAAATGCACGACAGCGAGCCTGGTATACTTTGGTTCCCGCGGCACGGCGCTTCCTTCGACTTTGCGCAGGATCTCATTCGGCCCATCTCGCGCCCAGGCCGCGAGGTCGAGGAATCCTCGGGCTCGGAATCTGTGCGGCATGCGCGCTCCGACTCGGAGGCGGCGTTCGAGGGCAAAGATGCCAGGGACAAGAGACTCGGGGTGAAAGTGATGTGTTGGCTGGCACGTTTTGCCGGGTCGGACGGGCATCCACGCAACCTCTTGCGACCTCTTGGTTCCCTCTAAACCCACCTCAATTTAATGCGTATGCGTTGGCAGGGTCCCGAGTTGCTCACATGTTCACATCCAGTTCTTAGACCCTTGCGCAAGGGTCTTACTGGCTCTGACAAAGATGAACAAAGGCTCAAAAGAAAACGACATGCTGAATCCATTGCGACCTTAACCGTGTCCAGCCAAAGGCGTACTCGGAATATGGCGCAGACAATGGCTGAGCTTTGCACTGCTTAGGGGATGAACACATACCACTCGACCAGAGGAGGGTGCAGAAACAATTCAAAGTTTTGGCAGTGCCACACTGCTGTATCTACCGTTGCCCCTTGTGGGTTTGTACCAATATTGGAGGGGCATCTCCGAAATGTTCAAACAAGGTACCCTCGAAACAGTCACACCCATGTGCGTTCCACGAGGCGCAGCAAGCACTGCTGGAAAGGCACAGACAGTGACCAGTTCCTGTGCAGTGACGAAGATGGACCAGACAGCAGATGTTAGACTGTTCGACGAAGAACCCCAGGCGTGCTTTGACATGCCCGCGCCTGCTGCCATCTGCTCCGATTTGTAGGGCACGTAGCGTGGTCTGGTTTATACTTCGGAGAAACATCTTGGTCTATTCATATTTCTGCATGCACCATGGTCTGTTGACTCGGTGCTTTAGTCGCTTTGTGCTTGGGGCTCTTACTCAGCAGACTTTTCCCAGCAATGTGTGCCATGACAAAGAGACCCCTTTACCCCTTTACTTGGGGATGGCAGGTATAGTCATCAACCTTTCATGGGTCTTTGACAGCAGCACAGGCTTCATTTGAGGAACGGAATGCCACGATCCACATACATTTTGACCATACACACACAGTGCTTGGCCATGACCCATGTCCTCACAGCGCCTCAGAGATGTGCCGAGTTCCGTGCCGAATCTCCAGGCTCTGCTGGAAACCATGGGAAAGTCTCCAAGGACTGAGCGGCCAGCGGCCTGTTGGCAAGTGCCAGCTCTCTCAAATTTTCTGTTTGGCTTGCTGGAGTCTCTGATCAGAGAGGTAGTCGAGGCACCTTTGGCAGCTTTTTTTTTGTGTAGGCTTCCTGGAATTCCGCGGTCCGGGCACATGACCAGCGGAGGCCGCTGAGCAAAGCAACAACTCCCACTTACTTGAAATTCTGCGACTCTTGGACGACTCTGATATGGGTATGGGTCAGAATTAAGCCACTAGGGGGACCGCAGGTTTTGGTCCATGTTTCTGTTTACCAGGGTTCCATTTTGGGTTCCTACTTTTGACGTAGTTGGCATAGTTGCAAAGTGTTGATATGAGTTTCAAGCAGCGCAGGAAAGGCAGCAGGAAATCAACACAGCGCTTGGTGAAGTCGAGATCCTGGGCTCAGTCAGGCGCTGCGATTCGCGCGAGCTTTGCTTCGGGAGCTCCAAGTGGAGCCTTTGGGAATCCAACAGGGGCCCTCCATTCAAGACACATGGGGGGAGGTGTTATGCCCCGGGTGCCGAGTTTTGTGAGCCATTGGTCAGGGCTGGACCAAACCGATTGCCAACTTTGTTCATTGCGCGTGAATCCCTACGAGTTGAATCCATAGCCAGTCAAAGACCCCAAATTGTCTTAGATCCTTCTTCCGTTTGAGTCAGGCTTGGTTGAAAATGGGCCACTGGTCTCAGTTTGGTTCTCATCATTTTCCAGCGCCATCGTCTTTTCCAAAAATGCAACATCTTCCTGCGTTCTGTCGACGAGACCCCGGGGCTTTTGGCGCTTTGCCGGGCAGAACCTTCGCCGCGCTCCCCGCGGCGCCTGAAAAGCTTGCGGGAGCTGGACATGCGCTCGCCTAAGGCCTCCGGGGGATGGCCGGGTTTCGGCAGGTTGGGTTCGTTCGGCCTGCGCGGTTTTTGTCTGGGGGCGCACGACCCAGGTGAAAATTGTAAACATGGTCAAAAAAGCAGGCTTGGGGTTGGAAAAACGGAAGCTCCTGCAGATGGGCCACAGACTTCGACACTTTTTGGGGGTTTGAAAGGGGGTAAACTGGAACCCAGGATTGATAAAACGCCTGGATGATCTATATAAAAAAGGTGTCTCAATATGGAAGAAAAGCCAGATCACTCGTTGGTGAAACGACACCCCGTGTTCAATCCATCAGATTGATTCGTCCTGGGGCGACATTAATAGGAGTTTAGCTTTGGCTTTGGCTCCTTTGAAACAGCGCAGAACGCGCCATATTTGCCACCCCCTACATGAGGCGCTTTGCGCATCTCATTCCACAGGCCACGGACCATGTCAGCACGGGGTTCTAGTTGATACAACCCGTCTCAAGCCTTTGGGGCAGTCCCTTGCTTTGATCTTGACGGCAAAATTTCGGGCAGAGATTTTGGAGGTTGCTTGGCTTTATACATTCTGCTAATGGATAGGTGGATATGGGAGGTGAATGAAAGCAATGGTCAGGTTGTTCTAGAAAACGGTTTGGATGCTGTTTGTGAATTTCGCCTGCTCTTCCCTCCGTTGGTTCTCAATATCCTTCGGGGGACAAGTCACATCCAAACCGTTTCTAGAGTTGTGTTTTTGGCGTCGGTCCAGTTCGCAAGAGCTGCAAGTCGGCCACGTGGATTCGATAGATGGCGAGCTGATAACCAGCCTACGGTCACCAAAAATAGCCGCTGGCAGATCCGACTGGACGTATGTCCATGGCAGGTTCGGAAAAATATTGCACCGTTGTTGCGTTGCAAATTGATGCACTACTACAAACTATTAACTTGATAGAATCACTCTGACTTGTTTGTTCAAGCTTACTCAGGATGTTTTCGCCTACTAGGTGACGCGTGCACACCCACCCCACCCCACCCCACCTCACCCCATCCCACCCCACCTCACCCACCTCACCCCACCCCACCCCACCCCACCCCACCCCACCCCACCCCACGCCCACCCCCACGCAGACGCCCACGGCCACACCCACGCACACGCACACGCCCAGGCCCACGCGCACTCGCACGCCCACGCCCACCCCACGCCCACGCCCACGCACGCGCCCACTCACACGCACACGCACAGGCACACTCGTACACGAGCACACGCGCACACGAGCACACGCTCACACGCGTACACGAGCACACGCGCACACGAGCACACGCTCACACGCGCACACGAGCACACGCGCACACGAGCACACGCTCACACGCGTACACGAGCACACGCGCACACATACAGAGGGAACGGCATTCAACATGGCCACCCCCAAAGACTTGCCGTGTGCCTCCATGGGCTTTGGGTTGCCTCTCATGGATGACGACCCAAGCCATCATGGTCTTTTTTTCTGTTTTTCAACTATCATGGAGGGTCCCCCCCTGGCAGAAGAACATCGCTCCTCCTGAGGTCCTGGCCACTTCCATGATTTTGTTGGAAGTGTGGCCTCTTTGCAAGGTTTACATGGAGGGTTGTGATTTGCAAGGGCTGTTTTGGATCCAGTGGTGGCATGGATTGATGCAAAAGGCCTCAGCCAGGTGAACAGTACATTGGGAGTTTGTCAAAATGGTCGACACCTTTTTCGTTGGTAGGCCAAAGGAAACCATTGGAGAGCTTCTCTTATTTTGACGCATGTCCTGACTGAACCCCAGTTCCTCAAGCTTGCTGCTTCTCAGCAGGGAATTAAGGGAATGACCCCTACAAACCATCCCTATGGATTCCTTCACGGGAATGCGCAAAACCGGTTCATTCCCAAACCCCCTCGCACCAGCGCACCAGCGCCTACCGCAGCAGCGCCCTACCCATCCGGCCAGGCCATCTGCCTGGAGCTGCCCGAGCGCCCGGTGCGCCTCAGGTCCGGGCGCCGCGCGGGGCGGCGGCGCCTGGAGCCGCTACTGCTGCCTTGGCAGCCCCAGGACCGCTTTGTTGGGATGCGGCAGGTGCGAGAAGCGGGACTTGGACCCAGACATGGACACCTTCCTGGTGGTTTCCTGTCAAAACCAAACCAAAAAGAGGGATCCCGAAAAAAGAAACACACCAGGCAGACAGGTACACAGACACAGACACAGACACAGACACAGACACAGACGCAGACAGAGACACAGACAAACACACAGACAAACACAGACAAACACAGACAAACACAGACAAACACAGACAAACACAGACAAACACAGACAAACACAGACAAACACAGACAAACACAGACAAACACAGACAAACACAGACACACACAGACACACACAGACACACACAGACACACACAGACACACACACACACAGACACACTCACACACAGACACACACAGACACACACAGACACACACAGACACACACAGACACACACAGACACACACAGACACACACAGACACACACACACACACACACACACACACACACACACACACACACACACACACACACACACACACACACACACACACACACACACACACACACACACACACACAGCACACGCACACGCACACGCACACGCACACGCACACGCACACGCACACGCACACGCACACGCACACGCACACGCACACGCACACGCACACGCACACGCACACGCACACGCACACGCACACGCACACGCACACGCACACGCACACGCACACGCACACGCACACGCACACGCACACGCACACGCACACGCACACGCACACGCACACGCACACGCACACGCACACGCACACGCACACGCACACGCACACGCACACGCACACGCACACGCACACGCACACGCACACGCACACGCACACGCACACGCACACGCAC